GATATAATTACCAAAGTTAAGCCCAACAAGAAAGAACAACGAAGAAAAAGAACAACCAATTTATAGATTCAAAACGGAAGGCGGAAGCCCTTCAAATTTTCTCAAGTAATGGTAATTGTCGAATATAATAGCTCAAGAATAACTAACCAAGATGGTGATGAATTGATTTTTAAAACTTTTTTGAACTATTAATTTAAATTCAAGCATGTAAAGACTAAATGAATTAATTCAAATAATAAGCGCAAATATGAAAGGTATAAGTAAAAGGAAGAGATGATACAAATGATATAATTGTGGAGGTTCAATCTAAAGTAACAATCCATGTCCTCCATTATTAAGCTTTTCGGCACGAGTAAAGCATTTTCACTATATTAATTGACTTATGGTGTAATCTAACCCTTTACAATCTTTCGGTGACTTACAAATGAGGAGCACCGATCCTTATATAATGTTGATCTTTAAGGGTCCTTAACACGACTCACTATTGAGCTTTAACAGGACGTCAATATGACCTACATTACTGAGCTTTACGGGACCTCAATATGACCTATATGGTGACTTACAACAAAGAGCACCGATCCTTATAAAATGTTGATCTTTACGGGACTTCAATACGATCCACACCTTATAAAAGTAATTTTACAATGAAATTCATCTCTTGATAAATAATACAAACAAGTTAAGTATTAAGAGAGGCTAACACTTCAATGAATAACAAGTTTAGATGAAATTTTTTGATAAATATGATAGTTAAAAACTAGATTCAACCAATCAAAATTTTTCAATGAGAAGATGAAGAAGAGTCAAATGCAATTGAAATTCAAAATTATTCTCAAAATATTTCCCTTTTAACGACTGATTGTAATAAATTAAGTACTAATAGATAAATGAGAAACTTTGAAGAATATGATAATTTTACAAATTTGATTCCTTCAATCAAAGTTTTCAATATGAAGAAGTAGAAATGTTTGTGCGATATAAGTGTAAAGATATTCTTTAAAAATATATCTCATTTTTAAAATTGATATAAGTTAAGCACAAAGAGATGAAAATTTTTGATGAGAAAAATGATTCAAGAAATTTGATTCAATAATCAAAGTTTTTGTTATGAAAAAATAAATCAAATGAATGTAAAAATGTAAGCATAAAGAAGATTTTTTACAAATATATTTCACAAGAAAGTTTTGTTCTAGTTGTTGTAATAAATGTAAAGTAAAGTGNTTTTTTTTTTTTTTTTTTGATTTTTCCTTTTCAATTGATTTGAAAAATATAGACTTTTGAATAACGTTTTCACTTTATCTTTCAAGGTAAGTAACATTGTAAAAAATTTAAATATTACGTTGAAATACTTACCTTTTTTGAGTAATAATTTTTTATACAAGTGATTTTATGAAAAAATCTTTTCGTGCATAAATCGATTTTTGAGCTTTTATCATTCATTGTTAAATATCAAAGTATTAGTATCTTTATATTTGAACTAAGAAGTCTAATATGTGATATTGCTTTGAAATTTGCCTCTTTAGACTTCTTGTCTCGATCTTTCTTTGATGTCGTCTCTCATGTTCTTGATCTTTCTTAGCGTTTATTTTTTAACTTCTCGTCTCGAATGATTTCACTTGAATGCTTCACTTTCGCTTTAATCTTTATTTCAAGTCCAATTTATAATGTTTGATTGATTTTAACATTGAATTACCATCACTCAAAATCAACTGTTAGAAATAATATTAATCTTGTTTGTTATTATCAAAATATTAAGGATGAAATTAACCATAAGTCAACGGAATACTAAGGGACGCTAGATTAAAATTAGAAATGAAAGCAAGATTGTGCATGGTCTACATGAGCATTAAACGCACATGGGCCACTAACCTAGAAAAGCATAAGCACGCCCAGTAGCATGCACAAAAAAGACTGCAATCATAGCAAGTCCCCTTAACATGATACATGTCAGCCATAACAAATAAAGATGAATATGCTCAAAATAATTCCACTTATAAGTTCGTAGGTCAATAATAAATTAAATAAAACAAGTCATACATTTAATATGAATAATAAAATCGAATTTCGGGAACTATTTGTTGAATTAAGAAAATAAATCTGCAAGCTTGCCCCCCTTCAGGCGAAGACAAGATGGGCAAGGGTATTAAAAGCAAAGAGTTTCGTAGAAGGAAGTGACGAATCATCCTCCTTCTAGGTTGACAGAAATCGTTACTGAAACACATGAGTAATTGTTTAAAAGCATGACTTCTAAACCAATTAATAACATGTAAACGCATAACAAAATCAATTATCAATCTATCACTAAACGATTGTCGCCTATTATTTTCTAGAATGACCCAATTGCCTCTAAACCTATAAGAAAATCTACAAATACTCTCGTTTAAGAGGAGGAATGCATGCAAATTCAAATATCTTTCTCCCAAATAGTTATTTTTACTGTTGCTCCTGTTTGAACATCAAAATCAGAGAGTATAGGAGGAGAAAATGTTGGTTGTATTAGAGAAATTAATTGATTATAAATTTGTAGTCAACAGTTACATAATAAATCCAACCAAATATGTTCGTTTCAATTCTTCAGCTATGTTTGTTTTATAAAAATAAGTGGGAGCCTTGAATAAATAGAAATTAAAAATGGCATTTACTGCATTTTAATAGTTTTTTATACAGATGACACTACCTTATGTTGATTACCTTGTTACATACTAAAATTACAAATTATAATCAAGAAATCAGCGCTATGTGTCTCCATGCGTGACTTTATATATAGAGACAAAAGTCTAGTCCAAGTTCAAGTTAAATTAGGCCACGATTGATATAATTACAAAAGCAGTCCTTGAATTTTAATTATAGTTATAATTAAGTACAAAATTTTCATAATAATTACAATTGAGTTCAAATTATACCAAAATATCGTAAGTACCTGTTCAGTGATATATTATCCAAGCTTCAATAATAAGATCATGTCTAGTTGATTCTAGACATCGCAATCTAATTATTAGTCTTCGTCTTTTCTATTAAAGATAAAGACTACAATCTCAAAATATTTAAAGTACAAAAGCTAATATACGTTCGTAATATTTTCTTCTTACTTATCGTACATATATTTCATCTCATGCAAGATATGATAATTAGGTATTAGCACAAATATTGAAATTTAGCAATCGCTAAAACACTGAGTATAGATTTATAATCGTTCAACATAAAATAATTAAGTTGTCATTTGACTCATTTTTCAAGGTTCCTAATACGAATTCGTGTACTTTGTTTTGCTCATTCTCACATTTAAACAATTTTTGCAGTAATAGTAAATCGCAATCCTAAATAGTAAATTAGTCAATACTACAACCTTTCAATATAAGTTGTCAATCCTTATATATGATCAAAATGTAAGTTATGCCATATTTTGCTTGTCCACTCAAGCACTCTACTTATACCTATCACAAGTGATCATTTATATTCTTAATATCAAATATATACTAATAATAAATAAATAAATAAAAATAAAGTTTATTCATTACAAAAATATTATTTTGCAATAGCAAAACTATACTAATATGGACACATAACCCTACAAATTTGTGTTAAATTATCTAAAAATTTGATCACTTGATTTGACAAGTAAGATTTTAGTGCCTGTTTAGTCTCATTATACAAAAACTTATTTTTATCCAAACTCATTTTCAATTACATTTGTCTAATGAAATACTTTTGCACTAAATTTAAAATTTTCCATTTTTTAACCACAAAATTTTCAAAAATTCACTATTGCAAAATCTATTCTCCCAAAAAATGGAGCTCAAGCATGGCTTTAATAACAATGCATCAATTCAATCCCTATTTGACCCCATTTTCTATTATTATTATTATTATTGTAAAATTCAATTTTAATCACATATTTTATGAGAACCACACCTTTTCAATCATACATTTCTTCAAAATCTATTAAAAATTTAATTTCTGACTAAATTAAATGGGAGCTAGAAAAAATTGTTTCCGATATAAATATATTTTGAAATATCTAGGAGATGGAAGTGTGATTAAGACCAGGATTCCCTTAGAAAGGAACAAAAATTGTGAGATATTATGGTATCAAAATTGAGAATATAGCCGCAAATATTGAAGGTAAGATGCCACGCCGACAGCCGAAAGCAGAGGAATTAAGTGGTCGGTCCCTTCATGAGAAAGAAAAGAAGCTTGCTTCTTCTCTCTCTTTTTTGGGCTCTTCGCAATGCAATTTAAATTTGTTTATTTTATTGCCATGTCTGATTAATTACTCAAATTGAGTTGCTTATATATCACATTCATTTCTCAACTAATTGAATCAAGTAATTAACAATAATTGATGCTCTAATTTTATTTATTCATTCATTAAATAGAAAGAGAATATTGTCACTCCCACTAATATAATATTCAACCATACTACATGTATACTTTTAATTTGTGTGCATCTTCCTTTATACTTAGTCACACGGTACCATAATCTTTTTTGATTTTCCCAACAATCTTTTTCTTTCCTGCTTAGATTATGTGTAAGGGAAGAGGATAAAGCCGTGAGTACAGAAAAACTTTACAGAATTTGTATCGAAACTGATGTGGCAGTGTGGGATTGGATTGTTTTTTTATATTTTTTCCCCATCTTACAATGATGTCATGCCATGTGTTGTTTGTAAAGATTTTCTGTCAAAAGAATTTGTACTTGTAGCATGATTGGAGGGAAGATATACATAAGGATGTACATCTAGCATTATACTATAATATTATCCTTCATACAATTTCATGCATGCATGCTACTAAATGAATTTGTAATACTAGCGATCACTCATGTCTCAGTATTGTTCTAACTATGCAAAACTCTAATTCAAAATTAACGTAACGCTTTCTTCAAAGTTGTTATTCAAATAATCTGGCTCCCATATTTCGAGTAAACTTGCAGAAAGGATCTGAATACTATTTTAATACTGATTAAATATAAACTAACTCAAACACATACATCATTTTAATTACTCACGATTTCGGCTACTAGGGTGAAAATCATTTCCATAGTTTGAAGGATAATCCAAACCAGAAAACCCTTCAAAATCGGATGGAAGATTCTGAAAATCTTGTTGCTGTTGTGGCACTAAGCTGGCGCTGCTACTAACGGAGGAATATTCCGGCATATGAGAGGTGGAATAGCAGCCTCCTTGTCCTTGACCTTGATTATAGAGAGCTGAAGTCAAGTAAGGGAAGTCTGCATCACTGCTAGAGAGTAATTGTGCATATTGTTGAAGCCCAGGAAAAGTGTTCTGGGACATTATGGGATCGTAATAATTATAAGCAGCTTGATCAATTTGCTGTTGCTGATGATGATGATCAGCTGGGAAACTGCTCGAACCACCACCTCCATCGCTGCTTATATATCGAAACTCCATGTTCCCTTGAACGCGTTCTGGAAAATTGAGCTTGGCTTTGGTGCCTTTGAACTTAAGCGCAGCATCATCGTACGCACGGGCTGCATCCTCAGCTGTCTCGAAGGTACCAAGCCAAACTCGAGCTGCCTTTTTAGGATCGCGTATTTCTGCTGCCCATTTCCCCCATGGCCTTTGTCGTACTCCTCTATAGTGTTTCCTCACAGATCCTTCAATAAACAATATAACGTTATTTTGCCTTAATTACTACATGTAATGATATGTTAATGGTAAAATAGATTAAGCCCTCGTCTGATTCTCATAATTTCCAAAATACACTTTCCTCTCTCTTCTTTTCAACTATACATTATTCAATAAAATAATATTACATGTAAACTTAAAATTTTTCCTTATTTTTTAACTACATATTCTCCACAAATTTATTATTCCAAAATACATTCTTAAACAACATTGAGGCTCAAACTTTCTATAAATCTACTGCATGCATATTTTCTAGTATATAACTTCGGCAATTCAAATTATGACTAGTTAATTACATAGGTGATGTACCTATTTCAGATTGAATTTACCATAAATTAACAGTTTTTTCGGCTGCTTTATATTAAATCAAAATAACTATTTCACTCTGAAATGCATACGCTTTGAATTATACGCTTAAAGGGAAAATCAGGGTGAGTGTGATAATTGAATAGAGAGAAGTTACCAAGCATGGACAGTCTTACAAGAATAGCATGGATGTTTTCGACACGTGCGGAAGACCAATACTCTCCGAACACTTTAGAACATTTTTGACATCACAATTTTTACAATAGAGTGTGATTGCGTCCTATTTTTACAATTTTTTTTTTTTAACACGTCGAAAAATATTTTCAAGACACGTTCCACATCATAACACTTCATAGTTTTAACACAAGGGGAATGTAAATCCCCATTTTATATAGTAATAGGGAAATAATTTCAATTACTATAACATTTGTGTAAAAAAGTCTAAATAATTTGAGAGAAATTCTAGAATTTTATGTCAAATTTGCCCTACATCTACAATGTATATTTTCCTTTCTCTAGCAACAGTAAATCAGACTTCAACCCAAAGTTACCTTGATCTACATTTCTACTCCAAAAGCTTCACTTGCAAAAAATTAAAGCTAAAGAAAGTATTGATTTAATTGGGAAAAGAATTACAAAAACCAAGATAGACCTAGTCTTAAGCAATGTAAATCAACTTACCTCCAAGATTAATTATATATGCAAAACTAATGGTGATTGTGACATTATTTTTTTTTTGAATGCTCCTTCGGTTAAAGAAGACAATTATAAGTAAAACCAATTGATAATGACTAGCAAAAAAGAAACATTAATCCATATGGAAAACAAGGGACATGGGAGAATTACATGCCGACCATTTTAAGAATGAAAAAACACGTGTTAAATTGATATCAAGGAAATGCTACATCTTGGAGTGGACAAATCAGAAAGAGAGATCTAGAGCAATCTACACAAAGAAAGAAAGATACTTCTTTACGGAAAGTAATCTCTAACCTCTTACTTGCATACGATGAACTTGGCTAATAAATCTTGCCATTTCTCTCTCTCTCTCTCTCTCTCTCTTTTTTTTTTTTTTTTATTTATTCAGGTGTGATTTGGAAGGGGGATTCACTGATTGATGGANTGGAATAATTAAACAAAGGGTTTTTTTTTTGGGGGGGGGTTCATGCAAGTTAATTAAAAAGATTAATTAAACACTAAAAATTAAAAGTTAGCTTAAATGATCAAACCTTGATCTTGTTGTGTTTGAGTAGAAGGGCGATGCTGATTTTCTTGATCATGAGTGGCACCCATAATTCTTGTAAGCCCAGAGACCATAGTTGAAGTATCTCTTTCAGAAGGGAAACTATATTCATCTCCTTTATTTTCCATGCCGTCAATCCTCAACTTCTTATCTGGTGAGAATTTTTTGTAGGGAAGGCAAAATTAAACGAGCTATTGTGTGAGAGAAAATAAGGTTGGTTTTCTATGTATTGATTAATGCTATTTATGTTGGCATATCATATATATATATATATAGGGTTCAACTTTTTAATTAAATATAAAATAGAAAGGGAAAAAGAAAAGAAAAGAAAGTGATGAGTGAAAAAATAGACATGTCCTGGCTTTATTAATATGACAAGAATGAATGAAATAGTGGACTAAGACAAAAGTGTGATCGATCCTTAGAACAAGACAATGAATTGATAAGAAGAGATCTTATTAGAGTTTATCTCCTCATCCCAACTCTGCCAAAAGTGCTGATAAAAGGTATTCACATTATGAGATCAACATTTCACCGTCTTATATGTACACACTCACGTGTAATACACAAGTTTATTCAAACATCACGTAACTAACTTTTTATCTTATTTTGAGAAATGGGATGCAGTAAGCCCAGTCGATAGATGCAATGCTGTGGTCACACTTCTCTTAATGAGTTCGTCCATTCGAGCAATATGTCGAAAGAGGGTTTAATCCCTATCTTGATAGATTTATAGTTGATTATATGATTTTTTTTCCCCAATTGTGATGGCTAGTTGAATTTTTTTCACCATTTTGTTTGGTTTATGAACATGTGATCAATATTGAAATTAAATTCTTGAGAATTTATTGCCAACTAGCTAGATGGGGCCAAAGAAAACCTAATATTCCATACGGCAATACTTATTTAATTAATTTATTGCCATTCATTAATTTCAAACAGAATAAAACACAAAAGAAAAGAAAAGGAATATTTGGATAATCAATTTGGCAATTGCTCACGAGACTGTTCTTACTCCAACATGCCGACTTAAAGATATTTGATTTTATGAAATTGTAATTAATCCAATAATATCGAAATTATGAGCTTTATGGAAAATTTTAAGGGAAAAATTTATATCTAAGAGTTTAACTATAACCCATTTCAAAACTAAAAAATAAAATTTAGTATTTCAAAAAACAGATACTATTAAATTTTAGTTATGAAATAATCAATTAGAAAAATATATTTTTAATTATATTAAGGTTACAAATATATACAATTTGGTCACAAATTATTGAATTAATTGGTTACAAATTATTTTTGGGTCACAAATCAAAATTTTTATAGGTCACAATTATTCATCGGTTACAAAATCAAAACTTTTATAGGTCACAATTTATTTATTAATCACAAATTCTACAAGTCACGATTCAAAGTTTTGGGCCACATATTATCTATTGGTCACAAAATATCCAATTTATTGGCCACAATTTCAAATAATTGGTCACATTATTTATTTGTCACAAAATAATGAATTTATTTGTCACAATTAACCAAATGATTGGTCACAATCATCCCCACCCACGCCATCCCACCCACAACAGTACCACCACTGCAACCAACATCACAACCACCACCAGCAGTGACGAGCACCACCACGACTCCAATGAAACACCACTTGTACCTCCCCCACTTCACCATCTCCACTAGTACCATTACTATTCCAACAAACCACCATCACCACCACAACTAACACAATTTAACATGCATACACCATAGATGGCCCACCTTCACCACTTGCACCAACAACCATTGTCATCACCGCAATCGCACCGTCACTGCCTGCACCAACAACCATCCATAACGCACCAACAATTACCAACACAATAGTGAACAATACGAAGAGGAAATAGAGGTAGATTACAAATAAAGCCATCACCAAGATGTCGTTACAGTGATGGGTGCTTCTGCGCATGGTGACGTTGTTGCACTACCATCGAACAACATTGTCGCACCGCGGAGCCACAACGACACTGTATGTTTTGCTCTGTGTCATCACATGAAATAGCTTCGTTGTGCACCTTCGTATGCATAATTTGTGAAGAGTCATCGGAGGTCAAGCGTAATCTATGAGAGTCATCGCTGTGTAATATCAAATATGTGAAGACAACCATGCTTTTAGAAAGAAAATGAGGGGTAGATGGAAAAACGAATTAGGGTTGAGTTGGATAGAGTGGTTGGGGTGGGTAGTACATTTATATAACTTCTAATAAAATTATTATTAACATTAAAAAGGTTAATTATTATCTTATTTTTGAATAAATATGTCGTACAGAATTTTGAAAAAGAGAAGTTAAAAACCGTGTGTGGCTGTAATTTCCCCAATTTTTAAGGAGAATTTGGCAATTTAGCTTGGTTGGAAAATGTATTTGGTGAAATAGCCTTTGACCAATAATTAAAAAAAAAAAAAGAATTAGTTGGCAAAATGACAAGATTCTCCTTCGATTATTAACTCAATAACCTCCAATTTTCCTCACAATCACCCATTTTCTTCTCCTCGGTCATCATTTTTGCTACCCTAAAATCATGTTTTTTATTATATTCTTCACTTATTTTTGGTATCTTTTAAGTATTTGAATAAGAGTTTGGTTAGCATATCATCTACATTGAAAAATTAAATTTAAATCTGAAGAAAAAAGAAAGACACTTTTAGAAATTTCAATTGTACTTTTACTATTGAATATACTATTAAATATTATTTAACTGGTGTTGTTTTCATATTTAGTGTATTTTTTCTGTTGTTTACAACCAATGAATGATAACAGCACTCCAGTTGCTATCTGAAATGTAGTATATCACTCTACCGTTATTTGTTATGTAAAGCGGCACTACGGTCGTTATCTATTGTGGTTTGATTTTTTGAACGAAATAACCTTTAATAAGCGACCCACTAACGTATATAACACAGAAAAATTGACTATGTTATAAAGAACGATTGAAATGACATAACTTTTATATTATTGAATTGGTGAAACCAAGTCATCCTACTCATGTGTCAATTAAGTTATTAAATATATCCCTCAATTTTTGTATGTGTCATGTGCATATTACAACATAAATAAGTTTTAGTAACAACACTTGTGTCGTTTCAAAATGTTTACCTATATTTTAATTTTTTTTTTAACAAAACAATATCTTATAATGGACTCACTAACATATATAATATAGAAAGTTTAACCATGTTATAAATAATGTAAATGAGTTCCACTCATCGGTTTTCCAAGCACGGATAAGACTCGGCTATTATACTCGTGTTTACACACATAACGACACAATGGCCGTTTTCATCTCAATAACGACACTATGCCGTTCTATTGATTTTTCCTACATTTTGATTATTTTATTGCAATGTAAAACATAAATGTTGATCATGTAACAATAAAAAAAGAAATGACATAGATTATATGTTGTCCAACAACGGACCCTTAATGTATTCTTTTGGTGATTATTTTGCAAATTAGATTGTAGGTTCTTCATAGTGAAGCACATAGAATAATATTTACAAGCTCCACTCAATATAGATTTGATTTGTTCATAATATATGTCTACTTGAAGAACTTAGCTACAAAGATGTTTGCATGGCACTTTGATCCGTAGATTTAGTTAAATTTTTAAAGTTACTTTTGTCCTTACTTTTCAAGAGAATGATTTTTTAGTTGTACATGTTCGATTTAAGTTAAATGTTGTATGTGTAGTTATAGTATTGATGCCTTTTAAGTTAAATGTTTACGTTTCAATTGGCATTTTTTTTTCAATTTGTTGGTATCCCATGATAACGGTACGTGTGACGTTATTAGAAATATAAGCATCCATGAGAATGGTACAGACGCCATTACTGGACTAATAAGAAGGACATGAGAACAACGCAAGTGTCGTTATGTTTGTTACAAGCTTTCATGAGAACGAAACAACTATCGTTACTGAGATGAAAATGGCACAAGTGTTGTAATGTTTGTAAATATAAGCATTCATGAGAACGAATATGTGCCATTACTAAGATGAAAACGTCTATTAGAATGAAACACAAACATCATTACTTACATATAAGCAGTCACACTTCATCCTTTATCCCTAGAATGATATAAGAGAAATATGAAAATGACTTGTGCTTTCACTAACTCGATATCATATAATTCATATCTTTCAACCATTATTTGTCACATGATTAACATTTCTCGTATATTAATTTATCAAAAAATACGAGAAAGTAACATGCAAAGGTGTCGTTACTGAGTAGAAAACATCCCCTATGTCATTCTATTTATAAACACGATTATAAATAGTCACGCCCCATCCGCGCCCCAAGAAACAATAAGTTAAACTCATTAAGTTGTAAGACGACCATTATATTTACATAAGTTGAGAGATATGCCCATTACTTATATTTTATTGAAAACAATAGAACCACTTCTGTTTTCATCAACTCTATCATCTAATTTATGTCATTTCAACCGTTCTTTGTCACGTGATCAAGATTTATGTCTTACGTACTCTATGTATCAAATGCTTGAGGTCGTTGTGTTGGAAATAAATCAAAATATAGAAGAAAATCAACAAAACGAAAAAAAAGGACACTAGTATCATTCTATTTCTAAACACAATTGTAAGTAGTCATGCCCCATCCGTGCCCCGAGAAACAATAAGTTGAACTCATTTAAATTGTAAGATGAACATAATATTTACAAAAGTTGAGAGATATACTTATTACTTATAGTCTAATGAAAACAAAATCATTTGTGTTTTTATCAACTCTATATCACATAATCTATGCCATTTTAACCGTTCTTTGTCACATGATCAACATTTTTGTCTTAGGCACGTTAAAGGTCCAATATTTGAGATCGTTGCGTTGGAAACAAATCAAAATATAGGAAACGACACAAATGACGTTATTAAGAAGAAAACGGCTCTTGTGTCATTTTGTTTGTAAACATGTTTATAAGCAACCACTTCTCATCCGTGTCTGAGAAACAATAACTTTAACTCTTTTAAGTTGTAAGATGGACATGACATTTAAAAAAATTGAGAGATATACTCATTACTTATATTCTAATAAAATAATAGAATCACATGTGCTTTCATCAACTCTATATCATACAATATATGTCATTTCAACTATTTTTTGTCATGTGATCAACATTTCTGTCTTACGTACGTTAGGGTCCAATGTTTGAGGTCGTTGCATTGGAAACAAATCAAAATATTAAAGAAATCAATAGAATGTTACAAGTGACGTTACTGAGAATAAAACGGCTCTTGTGTCATTTTGTTTTCAAATACGATAATAAGTACTATGTCAACGAGTCGAGCTGAGCCGAGCCGAGCCAAAAAAAAAAATCTCGGGCTAGGTTCGAGCTTTTTTGGGCCAGAACCGAGCAAAGCCTGGCCAAAAAAAGAGGCTTGGCCCGAGTTTTTTGGTTTTTTTTTTTATATTGAAGGCTGTAGTAGGCAGCCTTTGCTGCCTGCAAAGGCAAGGGCCTGTTGCAGGCAGCTATTTCTCTTTTTAAAAAATTTAATTTTTTTTAAATGGGCAGGCTCGCCCCGGGCTCTAGCCGATGCTCCAAAATGGGGCTCGGCTCTAGCTCGGACTTTTTCAGGGTCGAGCCTGAGCCACCCAAGCCAACGAGTATTTTGGTCATCCCTAATTATAAGTAGCCACGCCCCATTCGTGGCTCGAAAAATAATAAGTTGAACTCATTTAAGTTGTAAGATGGAAATGACATTTACAAAAGTTGATAGGTATGCTCATTATTTATATTCTAATGAAAATAATAAAAACACTTGTGTAGTCATCAATTTTATATCATATAATCTATGTCATTTCAACCGTCCTTTATCACGTAATCAACCTTGTATGTCTTACGTATGTTAGAGGTCCAATACTTGAGGTCGTGCATTGAAAATAAATTAAAAATATAAAAGAAATCAATAGAACGACACAAGTGATGTTACTGAGAAGAAAACGGCTCTTGTATCGTTCCATTTTTTAAAGACGATTATAAATAGTCACGTCTCATCCATGCCCCGAAAAACAATAAGATAAATTCATTCAAGTAATATATACCAGATACTGGTTGTGTTATCCATTTTTAATATAATGACTGCAGTGTTGTTCTACACTGTAGATAACGACTAGAGTGTCATTATCATCCAATAGTTGTAAAAACACAAAAATACTATAAATACAAAAACTAAAAAGTTCTAAAATATTATTCCATATTATATTCAATAATAAAAATACAATGTACATGAGATTTGTAAAAATACATTTCTTTTTTCTTCAAATAAAGTGAAATTTCAATATAGATAATATGATGATTAAACTATTGTTCAAATGTCCAAAAGATACCCAAAATAAGTGACGAATATAATGAAGAATGTGATTTTATGGTAAAAATCATGAAAACTAAATAAAAGAAAACGGTTGCGTGTGAATTTGTCGCCCTAAAATTGAATTGAGAATTGATAAGGCTGCTAATGTCTTTTCCAATGATGAAGATATTTATGACATTTGACATTATTTATCTATTGTATTTTATAATTGGAAGTCATTTGACCAAAACACATTGAGAGGAGATTATTTAATCAAATACATGATTTGACTACGCTATTTAATCAATTCTCCCAAATTTTAATATCGGTTTTAGCATATTATTCGTCTTAAACTTTTCATTGTCTAAAATCATCACATGTTTCTATTAGGATTTAACGAAAATTTAGACTGTCATCAAGAATGACTGATGGAGTGTGCAATATAATTAAGGTTGGTTGACATGAATTGTCAAGTTAAGATATATACGAAATTGAATTGAGTCAAATCAAAATTAAGCATTTTGTCTTCATATAATATGGTTGAATCCTGAACAAGAACGTGTTCACATCTATGTACTAGCGGCTTAAGGCTAGTGATGACATTAATCACTCTACCAACGTTCGAAGTGGGTCCCCCTCCATGTAAGAGGGTGGATACCGTTATGGACACCCCATTATATACATGTAGCATCACCCTTTAAAAAATTGTGGGTGGAAAAGTGTATTTTTTTTTAATCGTCCAATGGTGTGTTGCTACTTGACACAATGAAAATAATGATATAAAAGATGATGATGTACATGTAACGTGATTCTAATTAATACTCGTACATGTATAATATTAGATTATTAAAAGCTTCTCCAATGGTTTTTATTGATTGTTATCTACGTGCCATGCGAAATTAATATCTAAAGAAAAAACGATAAGATTCAAAATTAGTCTCCAATGAGTTGCTACCTTTTTATTTTCTTAAAATAAACAATGAATTTCTATCAAATTTCATTCAAGGGATAAATTTGCATGTGACAAATTAATTTAGCAATCAATTGCAGCATCGGATCGGAGATGCAATAAGAATATTTTTTGAATGTATGACAACTGCCATTTTATTGGGTTTTCGTGCTTAGAACCAATTTTTTGTTTCAAACAATCTTTTAAATAGACAACACATACGTCTCTAGTTGTCCAAATATTTAAAAATTCTTTTTTCTACTCATTTTTATTCACACATTCAAACAATAAAATATTTTGTACTTACTTTTTAATCACGTATTCTTTTAAAAATCGCTATATTATTTTTTCTAAATAATGATCATTCTTGGTGAAGATGTAACGTTTGATCCAAACTCAAAAGACCAAAATCCTCAAGACACCAATCCAAGTCAAAAGTGTTAATACTGACTACATGTACTATCACCCCACTCTTTCATGTGACTTATTCTATCTTCAACACATGACCCTACTAATAATTACAGAGTACGAATTTTGTAATAGTATTTTTTGAAAATTGTGTACTACAAAAATAAGTAAAAATTTTAAATTTACGTGTAAAATTATTTTATTGAAAAAATGAGAAGGCTCTAACATGATGAAATAAAAAACAATTTATTTTGCCCATGTCTTCCTTATCTTTGGCACATGCCCAGGACTCTTAACATTTAATATTAAACGAAGCTACCTCCTTGCCTTAATTGCCGGATTACTTGACAATATATATAACGAAACAAGTATCCGTGCTTTTCAAGTAACCAAATGACCGCTTTTGTACTTACTGATTCATCTTCTTCAATAACCAAATTCTTGAGATGAATCAAAAATAACATGTAGTTCAGGTAGGCATTAAAGAGAGACGAGGTTTCTGTGAACGAAATAGCTACTATAAGCAAACTTGGAAATACATCAAAAGTTGACATTCATAGAGTTCCAGCACAAACTTTTCTTCTACAAAAATAAAAAATAAAAAACAAATAGCAGAAGCAATGGATGCACAAAATGCAGAATGGCATCCTCCAATTCAAAACCAAATGATACAACAAAAATTGTTAACAATGCTCTCAATTCTCTTGGCATACTGCCCAAAAATAATAACAAAAGAAGGGAATGAAAATTGCCAAGAGGAAAAAAAAGGTATGGCAGGAGATGCCTCCATGCGCAACATATTTTGCTGTCCGTCAGAAACTCCCTATACATATACATATATATATATATATAGAAATTAATAAGTTCCTCAAAATCACGTTGTTGCCTTTGCAGTCTGTAGTACTCTCCCAATCTCAAATGGCAAAGCAAAACACCTGGGTCAACCAACCTGTCAATTTTTTCTCCAAAATTCATCCCTTTTGCTGCTCTTTTTATAATCCTTAATTTACATTAGTAAAGGTCCGGTGCATGACTAAAACATACTCAATTCTACAATGTTAGCGCTCACAAAAAGGAAGCAGCAGCAGCAGCAGCTCAATCTGAATCCTTGCCAGAACCTGAAGACGAGTCTCCATTGGAAATTTCCTCCCCGTTCAACAAATTCGGAGGGACTTCTTGATTGTAGTCCTCACTAGTGCTGGCTCTAATTTTTACAGGTCTAGGTCGAATATTAGTGCCCATTGGGAAGGGAACCTACAGAAGAAATACACAATTATGAGATGTTCCACATTTCTTATCTTTTCTCCAGTTATAACAGTTGCTGCTAATTTTTAAATAGATAGAAGTATGATACTGGTCCTCTGTTGGTGAACATCAGGTAACTGACAAATTTGAATGCATGTAAATATTAGTTCTTGTGAGAAAACATAGTAGCACGAAACCATGAATTGAAGTTAGTTGCATCTATTTCTTGCAGAAGGAAAACAATGTCATTCTATCTGAACAAATTGAAGATCTGTGAGGCTTGTGTCTTTTGTGAGTTCAAATTCACATCCAACCAGAGCATAGGTCATTTGTTTAAAACCATAACCAGCCAAAGCTCTCAAGTTGAATTGGACCTCGTGAGTGTTGGGTTAGTGGTTAGGTACCACATAAATTCAATCTCTGCCTTTCACAAAACAAAAAATGATATGATGAGCTAATTCTGAAAAGTGGGATTTCCACGTTTAAATCAAGAAGAAGAAACTGAGCCTTATCCCAATAAATTGGAATTCCACATCTAAGGAGATCAAATAAGCTTTAGGTAACAGACACTACGTGCTAGTTCAGCTTTGCCCTACCTGATCGCCAGCATTAGGACCATCAGTATGAAAGAGAATAGGGCGGCATCGCTTGTCTTCGTTCATCAAGCTTGAATTCTGGAAGTGTGCAATGAGGGCAGCCTTTCCCTGTATGCGAGCATATGCCAAGGATGCCACTTTTTCACTATTGAACTTCTCCCATTTCTTCCCACTGAAAGTCTGCCATTACCATTCAGATGCAATTACTACTTTAGTTAATACAAATAATAACAAATATACAAGAATCTTACTCTATTTTCACAAGAACATGAAGAATATGTAAATGTAGATGTTGCAGATGAAGCATATACCCGATAAAAAGGAATAATGAGGGAAGGTTCTGTCATGTTTATAAATGCATAGCCCACATTGCATTTGTTCTGCAGAGTATCAAAGAATTAGACATCAAAATAATAAAATTATTGCCATGATCAATATGTCATCAAGGAAAACCGTGTTTGCAACCATGAAACAACGTTTAGAGAAGTAACAAACACTTGCCTTGAAATCAATAGGTAAGTAAATGAAATCATAAGTCCCTCGATGGCGTTCATCAATGGCAGCCAAAAGCATCTTTGAGGTGTACCTAGATTTGCCCCCACAGTGAAATAGAATCATGCCCAAGAAAGGGAAAGAAAAAATCAATATCCAACTTCAGCAAAGCAAGATCGGAACGAATCTATTACACTGTCCTTGATATTTCAACAATCTACTTAGTGCTTGTCAGGGAGAAATTACAATTGAATAATGAAGAGTAACGGCCCTACAAAATGTGTAGATAATAAGTGGGTAATAGTTGTGAATGTATGGTTAAAATTAAAGTTTTAACTTTTGAGTCGAAATTGTAAGGACACTATAATTCTTGCCAAACATGCACTTAGCCCGGTTTAGAAGGTACAAATGTGGTAGTTTTGATATTAAGATAGAAATTCAGTAGATCTCATTGTGCTTAAGCATTCATTATATGCAAATGCATACTAACACATGGCAATAGAATGTCGCAGGTAATATCAGGTTCCAAGCTGGTCAGACTCGAGAATAAATGTTTCCAGAAATTTTCCCAGATCACAAGCACTGTAAAACTAAATTAAGGCGTTGCATAAAATAAGGCTCGAGAGAATAGCGGTAGTATCAAGAGCATTAACACAGCAATATTACGCTTGTTCTTAGATTAAATTTGCCTGTCCAGCCAGTCATCACCTCTCCTAATATATCAAAAGAGTAGTTAAAACCAAAAAAATTAGTTGTTTATTCACTTTGGATATTTACTACTCATTTGTATTTAATTTAGTAGCTTGATTGTTGCAATATGATTATCAAAAAGGGATTTGAAAGAAGATGGGAAACCATCATTCTATAATTGCATGATCTTAAAAATTAAAGTGAATAATACGTACTTGTTGGGAATGTTCTTTATCATAAGTGTCGTGCGCTTGTCTTTTTCACATACAATTCGGTCTATGTCAAGCTCAAACTGTTTCTTGTTGTCAGCTTGACTTGAGCTGCCTTCATTTCTGCAGCCTCTATTCCGTTCACTAGGAGAATCAAACGAACTCATCATAGAAATCATTTGGCCCCCCGTAGGAAACATCATGCACCTCTGATGATGAGTATGCAATCCAATATTTTTAGAAGGGATTGGCAAGTCCATATAATTTCCACCAGTGCGAGGAAAGATGTTATGAGGGGCAAATTCCAAAGGACGTGGTGAACTTCCCGATCTCATCAAATTTGCAAGTGAACCTGGGTGAAAAACAGTAGCATCAGGAGATTCCCCAGCATAAGCATGTCGTCTATCCCATAGAGCAGGATTGACAGATGGTGCTGATCCCACATGGTGGTTATTTATAGGCATAAGTGCATTCAACATATGAGATGGTGGTCTAGGAGCTGAATGCAATTGTTGAGGACGAGCAGCACCAATCCCATTGACAAATGATGGCGAATTTGACCAAACAATGCCTTGTGTGTGAGGATGATGCGAATTACTCCAAAAGTAGTGACGCCCAGGAGGAGGACAGCTTCCATTTCCAGAGGAACCAAAAACTGAGAAAGAGAACAAAACCAGATAGTCAGAACATCAAAGTAACTAGCAAGTGCTGGGTTGCTGGCTACATTTTGTAATCAGAAAGATTTGTATGTTGAGGGGTCCATTTGTCAAAGGAGTGGCCTGAGATTGCCATTTTTGGTGAACAGGGAAATTGAAGATTCCAGAATGGAAGCTGAATTACTGATTTCCGGTGTCTTTTTCTTATTCTTTCTTCGTCTGGTCTAATGAAAATTTTGCTATGAAGACTATCATTAGACTTCGCGGCATCTTTTCACCCTTATAATTTTCCTTCTCTTAAGATTACTGAATTAGGTAGCCACTTTGACATCCATTAGTCAGCAACAAAGAAAATTAAATCACACATGAAAACTGCAAAGCAATTAGACCCTGGCACTTACCACCTTCATTCAACTCAATTGACTGCCCATTCGAGCTAACTCTATGAAACTGCTGGTTCTCTAAGATTACTGGTGGTCTGACACTGATATTTGTAGCCATGTTACTGGTAGAACCAGAGGGCGGCCCTTTAGCTAAACCATCATGATATTCTGGAAGCGAATGGGGATGGGAATTTGGCATCCCCCGAATTTCAAACTTCAGGCTGCCCCCAGAGTGACCAGATTCACCAACACTAGACTGATTTCCAACTGATCCCACCCTTACCAGAGTGGGTAAACTATTAGGCACACTACATGATGCCCCATGGCGAAATACATTATCCAAGAGTGGACTATTTGGGTTACCATTCGTGAAGTGTGAACCAAGAATAGTTCCGTTGTTTGTATTAGATGTGATTCCCCCAAGTGAAAATGGTCCTGGTAAAATTTTTAGGACACAGCATGAACATGTTTCCTATTGATAGAAATCTAATCAGCAGTGTCTATTATGAGAACTAATATACCAGAAAATACAGTAGTCAAGTTATTAGGAGGGCTATTCTGCTGCACTTGAAGACCAGATTCGTCATGGTCCATCTCAGAACTAAATGGCTGCATTAATCTGCAAATAGCAAAGGTTAACTTGGTAAAGTGAATAAGAATATATTAGCTGTGTACACATCATTCAATAACTACAGAGCACTGAAGTTCAATTCCTGCATAGAAAACTGATATAAATGAAAAACGCCAAAGAAGCAGAGAATATGACGAAGATAGAAAGTACTTAAAAAAGGGCCAGAGAAAGAAGTATTTGCTAATATCAACCTTTTAGAACCATCAGGTAGGCTTGCTTCGATCTTAATCTGCTTTCCAGCAATTTCACTCCTGTTCAATGCATGAAGAGCAGCTTCTGCAGCTCTAACATCATAAAACTCAATAAATTTCTGATGACCTCTATTGAGTGTCCCGTGAATCTACATCCCAGAAAGAGTAGTTAGTAATTGTATTAGCACGTGATCTGAACAGACTAGGTTGGTACCAAAGCTCACCTCCTTGATCTCACCATAGACACCAAAAATTTGTCGGAGTTCATCAGTTGAAATATTAGAATCGAGGTTATAAACCTGAAGAACTCCCTGATTATCATTTTCTAATGGATTCTCCTAACAAAGGTAGACAACAAGGAAAGGTTCAGGCAATACAGTTAGTCACAGAAAGATAATTCTGATGCACATCGAAAAAAAAAAAAAAGGAGAGAGAGAGAGAGAAAAGGAACAACATGTTTATCTTGATCATAATGCAGGTAAATATGATTGGAGCAGCAATATATAATAATAAAAAAGGTAAGAAGAAAGAAATTAAAAGAAAAGTTCGAACCTTGTATTTTAAAGTAAACCATAGCAGAAGCTTACCTTTGGAAATGAGAAATGTATGTCAAGTTTCCTGCATCTTAATGGCTTATTCTGGATATCTTTCACTGCATTTTGGGCTGCTCTTATATCATAATATGAGATAATAACAAACCCTCGATGCTTGCATGCTGTATAGAGAGTGCGGATCTCCCCATATTGCTGCAATTAAAATATAAACAAAGAGGATGAACACTAGTCAGAATATGGCAAGGATATACTTGGACAGCAAATTCAAATTCAAATTCAAACTCTACAAAAAGAGACAATTGCCCACCTCGAAAAGTGCTCTTAATTCAGAATCTTCGTCATTGCTGTTTATGTTTCTTACAAAGAGTGTTCTTGACGGGTGCTCCTGATTATTGGAACCATAAGACACTCCCAGCTGATTGTTAGAAGTGACATTAGAAAATTCATAGTTTCTTTGTGAGGGACTATCTTCTCCTAGCTCCAGTCCTCCAACACTACTAAACAGGTCCAAATCTTCCATGTCACCCACATTATTAGATTGGGCAACACATCCAAGCCCATCAATCAAACCAGAAAGCAAGTCCTCATCATCAGGTAGAAGATTACCAATAGTTTGAGCCTCAAGTTCTTCAAGAGACTCAAAACCCTCTTTTGCCTCATAGTGAGGGGCAGCAGCAACACCAAATGAATGACCATATGGAGCATCATTTGATGATAATCTCACTGAAAGAGAAAAAATAAAGGACCAATTACTTCATTTCAGCTATCAAGGTAACTTAAACGGTAGAAGTTAATTTTATAAATCTGCTTAATTATGCTGCATCTCAAGATAGCATTTTTGAAAGCAAATATAGGCATAAATCAAGCTGGAAACAGTTTGCATATGGCAACAACATTTCATCAAAAGTTGGATAAGGGGAAAAGAGAGGACTTACCCTTTCTACTAAATAAATCAGATAATGAACTTGAAAAGAGACCATTTTCATACTGAGTACCCATGATGTTTATTCTATCTCCATCCAAAAAGTAAGACGCAGACACGTCATTTGAATTAGATCTAGCACTTAGATCATGGTCAACAGTACTAGGCAAGGAATGGCTGACTGCTCTTTCAGCTCCAACAATGTGCTTATCTAAGGTAATGTTAACTTTTTTACCATGACTTCCAAAATATTCAGGAAGGTCAAAACCCTTTCCCATTAGAGGATCCAGCTGGTTTCTATTCTCAAGAGGTGACAAATCAGCAACACGGGGTCTGAGTGCTCCACCCGTTTCCAAACCTGAGAGGCATCCAAAGTAGTATAACATTCAAAATAAGTTTGAAAAGCTTACCAATAAATAAATGAATCAAACAGTTGTACGCAAATCTACATAACTATTCTTTCCTCTTAGATTTTCTCATATTTATAATAGACTTGGGAAGTTTGACTGCTATTCCTCTTTTCCCAGTACACCAGTTGTATAATGACAGATGTGTCCAGTGTAATATATATATTTTCTAAGGAAAAGTACAATGTTGATAGTTTTTCATTACACTATTATCTGGTTTCAGAAAATGGAATTTTGACAACTCGTGAATAACTCTTTTGATAGAATAAAGGATGGATTAGAAATGACTTATTTGGAAACTTACAGAACAGAATACAGCCAAGTAGAGTGGAACATGCTTTCTATCTATTTTTGTTGTTTTTGCAGTTCATTTACATGGAATAAAACCTCCAAAAGGCATAAGATGAGAACCCAACTCTTGTTTGATGAATAGAACTATTAGAATTTGGGTGTGATCCGAATTCCTTGTTAAAGTAATTGAAAAATTCTAATTGAAGTGCACATCAAGAAGAATTCCGTTTGAAATGCTATTAGAGTCATATGTCAAGCTGAAATTTTATTTTGAAAGCCTATTGAGATGAAATTTGTTTTCGACTCAATTTTTTGGTATCCTACTTCATGAACAATTCTTCTAGGAGGATTTGGACGTCATCTACATGTTCTCTATAAATATTAGGCTTTTCTATACAATTTAATAAGTGCGAAAAAATAGATTACTAGAATTATAGGATACATTATAATTTTCTCTCTTCTCCATTATTCTTTAGTCAATAAAATCTCTTAATTTAATACTAGGATCTTCTATATAATTTTGTAATGTGAGAAAATAGATTACTAGAATTATAGGATTCATTGTAATTTTCTCTCTTCTCCATTATTCTTAAGTCAATAAAATCTCTTAATTCCTCTGTCATATTTCTTATCTTTATTACTCTTTTGCTTGATCTAATACTTCATTATTTGCCATATAACTTCAATAATTCATTCCAATGGTTGGTTTCATCAAGTGGTATTCAAACAATACATAATTCTTGTATTGCCAACATTGCTAACAACGATCCGGACATATTAATATTTCTTCTAACAAGAGATATTTTGGTTGTTTCATAACAAGAACCTTCTATAACTTCCTGAAAAAAAAAATAGTTTGTCCAAATTGCAAAGACGTCTTAAGTGAAGATGACATCTTGCAAGTGTGTTGTGTGGAATATATGACAAATATTCTACTCAAGCTGCAAGATGGACTACTTTCATGCATGCGATGATATCCATTTATGCCTTTCTACTTGCATGCATCACAACGGCATTTCATACTACCAGGCCCACGCAACAACAATAAGTGAAAATAGAACATTCGGTACGAAATAAATGCAACAAGCTAAGTTATTATTTTTGCTCCTTGTCTAAGTCGTCTTTAGCTCAAATACTTCCAACACAGCCCTTTTGAAATTGCACAACAAAGTCGCATGGACTATCGACGCCTTATTATGCAAATGAACTACAGTTAAATACCATATTAATAAAGGTGCGCCATCTGAGGAAAGACAGAGAAGACCCACAAACAAATTAAGCGCATGTTTGGATTAGCCTAACTTATAATAAATTTGGTCAATCTTTATTTTAACCATACATTTCCTAGGACCCACAATTCCTCACATCCACTATCTCCTTGTTGTCCACGCATTCCATAGGGTCCACAAAATCTCCACCACTCATTTTTATCCACTTATATTAAGTCAATCTAATCATGCACTAAGCCTAGCTTAATTAATAGAGAGCTTGTATAGATGAGATTTTTCAAAAATCATGCTTTCCAAACTCATTTAACCACTCATTCTAAAAAAAAGGTCATTTTTAACAAAACGTGGCCCTAGTAAATTTTTCCTTTTTTCTTAACCACACATTCTCCAAAAAAAAAATCATTTTTCCCCAAGAAAAATCTCTCTCAAACAAACATATATCTGTCGACAGGTTTATAAAGGAAGGATTCATACTAGATTCCAAACTTCATTTTCAATCTTGCAAGATGTTCAGATACTTCAACGACCAAAATACTTGCAAATTCTAAGTTCATAAATCTAAAAGATGTCAACTAAGTCCACTCATAAATAGAATACAATAGACAAGAAAACACTTTGACATGGTAGTATCATGTCCACCGTCCATAAAAATGAACTTTTAGAACATTCTATGCTCACCGGCAGAGCCAGCACCCAACAAGCTAGCACGGCCGCCTGTGCTCGCTCCGCCGAAATTGAAAGAGAAGGATTTGAGTATCAATGAGGGGGGTCCAAGCCCACCATACTATACGCCGCTATCTAAACCCAAGGCCAACACCACCACTTCTTGGAGAAAACCCAAAAACTATTCATTTGCTATTGTAACAATCCTTCGCTCTCTGTCTTAACTTTATGGTGTTTGGCAGAACGACGATAGCAACACCACCTCCAGCCTCTGTACAGCCACCTCTTGTATTTTTTTTCCCAAAAACACTACCACTATAAAAACACAGTACGCAACATCATTAAAAAAAATCACCCTACACTGATATGCAATTAGACGTCGCAAGCACCATTCCGCCGATGACAACGGAGCGACCACATTTTCTGAAGAAACCGCCAAGAAATATGCATCATGTGATATCAAGAACAGTGAGTACACCCCATGTGAGGACACCTATTGATACTCGAACCCCTCTCTCTCTCTTTTTTTTTTTTTAGTCCATTATACGGTAAAAGAAAATCTTGAACTAGTGATATTTTATACATATTGATTGATGATTTAGTATTGTGAATTGTGATAAATGATGTTATATTAAAATTGTAATTTGTGATAAATGATAATATATTAAAATTGTAATATGTGATTTATTCAAATTGTAATAACGCTTGGTGATTTGTGTTTTGGAAATTGGAATTATTGTCATGTTGGTGTTGAAAATTGAATATTTAAAATTGGTGATAGTTTAAAATTAAGTTTCTAAAATTTACGTTTAATTTTCATAATACGGAATGATTTTTTTAACCAAAACGAAAGTCCCAATCTAATTCTTTTAGTGGTGCATCTAGTCCCGCCACAAACTTCTAGTCAAGCACGAGTTTTTAGTCATTTATATATTGATTGAAATTTTCTAATATTATTTAATTAAATATTTAGTAAACGATTTAGCTATTGCGGTCATTTAGCTCACCAACATTCTTGGTCTGCCACTGTCTCTGCTGACACGACCAACTTCAAATGCCAAAATGCTATTCACTCGGTAACAAGATAACATGTAAGATCTCAAAAGCTTGTTTGAAGTAATTCATACCTAGACAATATACATCTTCTTGAAAGGTTAAAAAAAATGCCATTGTAATTTAATCAATTTAAAAAAGCTTAAAAACTAAACACTCATGCCTCATTACTTCCCCCACCCTCTCACTTGTTTTCTTTCAAAGAGGAAAAAAGAAATCATCAGGCTTGCTTAGTATTGCTTGACAGTTGAAATCTATGCTAATGCTATTATAGGGTTATGTAATGAACAGGCTAGATAATGAAATTGGCCAAGGATATAATTGAAACTTACCATAGTAACCTGGCATGGTATCCATCTTCCATAAGCCAAGCTGTCTCTGCAAAGTGTAAAAACACGGGATCAATCATATAAAGTACACAGGTGCTAATAAATAGTTTCCTTTTTATTCATTTTTCTTCTCATTTTTCATTTTGTTTTCTTTACTTATTTTCTTTTTCTGTCACAATGTTACGAATTCCCAAAGTGTATAGTTGAGCAATTGAATACTGAATTCCAATTAAAATGAATTTTCCACAAGATTCTTCTCAAATACTCAAATTTGAACAATTCGCGGGCAAAATATACCTCATCGTGAAATCGCACCCCCTCAGAAAAAAATGATGAAGGAGAAGAACCCCTTGGGTTCATCATTTCAGACAGTGTGGTCTAAACTTAACTGAGAAGAAATGTCTTTGGCTTCCACCTGACCAAAAACATGTCAATTCTACAAGAAATCTTAAGAAGATCCGGCTGCAAAGAATAGAACAGATGATTGATATATTTGACAACAGACAAAGAAAAAGAAAAAATGCTGGATATCCAAGGAACAGACTGACAACAATGGTGGGAAGTGACAAGTACAAGAAGTCACCCACTATTTTTAAGCCAAGGAGAAGGCAAAATATAAGTGTACATTTACAGCGATTTTCAACTGCAAGTATTGCAGAACAAATATTGAATTTTTCAGCTTCATTATTAAGGTGCCAAAAATGGGGCTAAAGCATCTGTTTTCAGTTCTCAAGCAATAATAGATGCATTTAAGATGTCTTAAATTAGAGAAGCATTTACTCGATCTAAGACTGTAAAATTAAAGAATCTTTCCCAAAATTCAAAAGTTTCCAAATCTGAATTCTGGAAATTCTACTAACTAGAGAGGAATTAATATGAGAAGATGAAGAAAACAAAAAAGTCAGCTTTAGCTCAAACTAAATCACAAGAGAAACCCCCTCTCCCAACCAACCAACCAGCTGCTCTGACAATTTCAGTAAATTCAACCGAAATCACCATCGATGGAAATCTGAAAACCTAATGTGCTGCATAAGTTTAACATAAATGGAAAACATTCAAAAACACGCGCACCTTAATAAAATTACAAGATCATCACCAAGAAAACAAAATTGGGGAGCAACGAAATTCCCGGAAAAACACGTTGGCACGGAGACGGAGAGACAAAGATATAAAAGGCAAGAGAAGCTGAAGTTAAACGCGGGAAGCTAGGCGAGGCTAGGGATTTTGAGATATAAACTGAATTATTAATAAAGAGGCATAAAATAGGAATAAATTGCGGCAAAAGGCAAGGGAGAGGGAGATTGAAGAAGATATCTAGGTATGTGTGCCGTGCAAATAACCTCCAAAGCTTTGATGCCTTTTCCTGTAACCTTCTCTTCTCTTCTCATCTCATATCTATCCTCATTTTCTTGCTATTTCTCTTGCTTATTTTCTCCATTGCTGCACGTTAACCACGTGTATAATTGTATATAGAATAACATAATAATTATCTCTGCATAAATTGTCAGAAGAATCGGTGTCAATTTCTCTCTCTCATAAATTCCTAGCGGAATCTATGGATTATTCCGGCGAGAGAAGTCGGAGATCCCGATCTCCACCGCTCGCTTTCTAGAGAGAGAAAGAATTTAGACACAGTAAAAAAAAGTAGAGAGAGAAAAAGAGATCTGTATAAATGGAGCTTAGAGAGAAACAAATATTGTGTGTTTCCTACAAACACGAGAGGAGGAGGACTGAGGACCCTCTTCCGATGGCGTTGGTGCCTGCCTCGTGCAGTTGCCGCCGTTGGATCAAAACTGTGAACAAATATCATTAACTAATAATTCTTCTCTGCTTTCACCCTACCTGGACCAACCACTCACGTTATTAGCTCACGTAAACATTAAAATTTTCATTCTCATTCTTCTACTCAATTTTCATTTTTCTACTCCATAAAATAATATTTTTTATCACATCAATAATTTTTTTTTTTTTCAACCACACATTTTCCATCAATCTACTATTTCAAAATATATTCTTCCAATATAACGTGGCTCAAACACACCCTCACTTATATTTGTTTGGCTTCCTAGTACGATTATTATGCCATGTGTTGCCTTCTCAACCACTCACTTTTCATTTATTAAGAGTAAAAACGTAATTGATCATAAAAATTCGATAATCTTAGCATTTGTGTGGCAAAACTTATTTGAAAAATATTTTTCTTGAAATTTATTTTTAATCATGCATACCGTCAATAGAATAACTTTGCACGTAAACTCATAATTTTCTCATATTTTTTAACCACATTTTTCATATAAAAAATATATTTTCTACTTCAAATAATCTCTCATGAACAAAGACATAATATATTGTTTACAATTTTGTACAACGTCATTAATTGATGTTACCAAAAAAAAAAAAAATATGGGTTGGTTGTTATGAAGTGGTAGTCGAACGTGTACGATTAAAAATGGATAAAATAGGAAATTGAGTTGAATAATGTTATTCGACTTCAGTGGTGTATTAAGTATCCTTAATAGTTTTAAAAAGAAATTAAGTAGAGAGTGTGTGGTACATATTAAAAATGAGAGAATGCACTTTCTGAAGTGATGTGATGGAGAATATGTGTTAAGTGTTTAGGTTTACGTGAGAAGAGAGGATAATTTAATTAACGATTTTACGGATCCCAACTCTTAATCATGTTATATATTTTAAAATTATTGTTCAATATTTAAGGTGTTAATTAATGATGTCTCATTTTGTAACGGAGTTGCATTTTTTTGTGTCAAAAAGCATTACAGAAAATATAAGTAGAAAACGCTGTTCTTTTAAAATAAGGATAAGCAATAACCAACAAGTAATGTCAATCCTGCATTAGCTGTTGTACCCCCAATCCAAAGTAGAGCCAGCTATTATATATATATATACAATGGACTATGGAGTCAGTTTAATTATCATCATCAAATTTTATAATTTTAAGTTGCTTAAAAAACACCATAAACTCCCCTCCCCACATGCACAAGGCACCTCTAAACATTTAGAAGAGGAGTTTCTTTAAAACAATAATGAAAAAATTTAATGGACAAAAACTATGTCAAAGATTCGTCAGCAGTATTACGGTTGTAATTCTGATTGAGATCAAAATCTATTGATTATTCAAAAGGAATAACGATAACGATACAATTGATAATCATCGATACACTTCCTCAACGACCATTGATAGCAATGCCGTCGTCTGTAGTGGTGTTCGAATTCATCGACGGCTTCATTGTGAATTGCTAACGGTATGACTATTAATGATTTCGACTGAAATTAATATAATTCAAACAGAATTATCGATGCGATGCCTTTGGCGATCACCGACAAATCTTCGTACACAATTTTGACAAAAATGTTGTTTATGTCACTTCAAAATATTTACTTTGTCTATTTCGGTAAATCGATAGCCTTAGACTGCCACGTAGATGGCCTAATGCTCGAGCTGTTGACTTATTTAGTTATAGTTGTCAAATTACCTACTTCTCAAGGCTAAATTGCTTGCACATGATCATTTGCCAATGATTCTTGATTTCAAAGGCTCCAAAGAGTGTAATGGGAATATTAGCTGCCTCGACATTCACTAATAAAAATTCAAAACAACCATCTATCTTTTTTTCTTAATCTTATTATGATGAATAGCCAAATTTAACTTCAATGGTCTTCCAGTTTATGGGTATTTGCGTCGTTCTCGGTATGCAAAATGCTGTTTTTTAAACTAAGTTATATTTCGTGATTATTTTCCACAAAATTCTTACAGAATTCCTTTTTAGCTTCATATGAACTTTTTGCAATTAATTTTCCACCGCTACGACATGAAATTCAATCTCCATCTAGAAATGAAAAATCATATTGGAAATTATGAAATTCTGATGACAAGTGAGCGAAGTGACGTTGGCGACAACATTTATTGGGCTCACGAGCCAAGCACACGAACTCAACTCTTTTTATTATTATTATTAATTTTTTTTAAAAAAAATAACAAACGATATTTGGTCACTTTTTTTAATTTTATTTCTTTTTGACATTCAAAGCACACTTTCAATATTGAATGATTGACATGATTCTATTCGTCTCTTTAATTATATACAAAATGTATGTATGAGTTTTGTGGTTTGTTTTACCTTCGAAAGGTTGAAAATAAGTGGCAATTGTCGTAAAGTTCAATATGAGATAGAAATATACAGTTATTTATGCTCTAAGTGATCTTTAAATATTCACAAATCTTTAATGCATTCTTATGTGTTCATCCATCATAAAAATATAGTTAGGTCAAATATGAGGATATGTTTAATTCTACTAAAAGAGAGATTGGTAAACAATTTAGGAATATTGATCTTCATAATTGAACCATGTTGCCAAATTGTAAGGTTTCAGAGTTAAAGGAAATTGATACAAGAGGATTCAGAACTCTAGTACATTTTTCATCATAATATATTCAGAACACTTTCATTAATGACGATCTTACATTTATTGGTACATTAGTTGATCACAAATTTAGATATAAAGAAATTTACCAATTTTCATAGTTTAGGTTAAGTTAATTTGAAATTAATCTATTACAGTCTTTATGGATATGATTCTTGAACTTAAAAAATCAATTTTACTACTTGTTAACGAACTGTGCATTTGTGGTATTACAAATGAAAAAAATATTTTCGCAATAGGGTTTTGGACCCTTACCAGGGATTGTTACTTTAATTTTGGTTCGATTTATTTTAGTACTAATTTGGATTTTTACAATTTTACCAGTATTCTTGCATATATTTTTTTTTCCATTTTAGTTTTTTTTTTTTTTTTTTCTCCTTTTCAGGATATGAAAAGATAAAAAAAAAATAGCAGGATGACACATGACTATGATTGATTTCAACATAATGATTATATGTGACTTTATCATAAGGTAACAACAATTGGCAACTCAAGAAATTAATGATGGGGGATATACTTGTGGGAAATTTCATTATTGGACAGCGAAAAAGAGATATAAAAGCGGATTGTAAACTTAATGAAACTGTCCAGGGTGACTTGCTTGTTGCATTATTTCTCTCATCAAAATTTGACGTTGGTGATTTGCCTGTGAAATTATTTCTTCCACTGATTAGTAATGGACATCAATTATGGAAATCACTTCCATCGGGCTTCCAACAAATATAACAAGAAGAGAAGACTTTTCATGAAAATATCATTATTTCTTTGCCAAAAGCTTTGGGTACGGGCGTAGAACTCAAAAAAAATCTTCAATTAAAGAAGATAAGCATATGAAAAATGAAGAGTTGATCATAGTAGAGCAAACTGAAAAATCGACATTTAATGATGCTGACCCTTCCAAGCATTCCTTTGACTCCAAT